GGAGCACCCAAGTGTGCACTTAACCACAGAAGAGCACAGGCAGTCTGACAAGATGTACAACTGCCTACTGTTTGTATGTGTTCATGGTCAATCTTGGCCAGGCCCAACAGACTGACGAGCAAGTCCCAGATCTGCCCATATTCCTCCACGTCAGAATCTACTTAACCTTTTACTGCATGAAACTACTGCATGCAACACTCTCCATTCCAAATTTATAACAGGGAGGCCTGTCAAACACAGAACCTACCAGAGGCCCCAGCTACCCTCAGTTGGTAAGATGGAATGACAATGTGTACTGGAAGGTCGATGAGGGCAAGGAAGTGGGTGATATGAAGCAACAGCATGTACAGAAAGCTCTTTCATGCAGTGTAGGATGACATGAGGATTTCTGAAAAACCATTCAAATTCTGGGACCAAGATTCCTAATCAAGGGAATTTTGGGACCCAAATAGATATTCTGTCTGACTGAGAAACAGTATGGATGGGAGTGTTTCGTACAGTTGAGCTGCATTGTCACCTCAAGTGCAGCTGGGATAAAAAACCACATTTTTAGGCTCTGGAGGACTCTGCCTGCACATTGGGCTTCTACCAATTTATAAGTTTTTGGCCTGAAACATTGATATCTGCTGGTTAGCGCTGGAAGGAAGAGTTCAATTTTTGCCAAACTCCCTTCCAACTGAATGAAAAAAAGTAGTTTCAATTCCCATTTGCTTGAAGAACCCTGCTGTCTAACTGTCTATGATGTTTTTGACACAAGCCTGAAGGCAGGCAGGAAGTAGGTTGGGAACTAATAATTCCGAACAAATATAGACAGTATAAAAAACACAGAGCAGTTCCTTCACCTCTGAAATGTGATCTGAATTACAATGACTTTTTTAATGCTGAATATTTTGAAGTTCAATTTAACGGGAGGAGGTAGCATAATGGTGATATCACTGGACTAGGAAAGAGCTCCGGGTACTTAGGTTCAAATTCCACAATGGCAGTTGGCGGCAGCATATCTAACAATTGAATTGAGTTCACAAATTTGGATGATGAAACTTGGCTCAATGATAGGTACCACGACAACAATTATCCATTACTTGGTCTGGCCCATGTGACTCCAAAATCGCAGCAATATGGTTGACCTTTAATTGCCTTCTAAAATGGCCTTAAAGCCCCTCAGATCAAGGGGAATTAGGGATGGGAAACAAATGCTGGCCTTGCCAGTGACACCTGCATCCAATGAAAAGAATAAATGAAACAAAAAAATTACCTGGCTAGATTAGCTGTGAAACAGGTTGTTGACAAAGCATGTTAGATTCCCTTCGTGAAAAAGAGGCAATCTTAGAACAAAAAGAATAAAATGGGTGAATATTGAATTAGAAAAGTTACGAACATATTGATGTGTCCAACATTTTAAGTCACTTTTCAGCAGGTTTGCCATGTGGCAAACCAGATCATCTTAAAATTGTCAGTTGGAAACAGCAACACATGGCTGTCTTTTTTCAACATTATAACTAGTTCACTATTACCTATTATGGATTACTCTGATTACTAATCAAATTATTAAAGGTTAACTAATTCCTTTCGTCTATCAAAACCTTTTCATAATTTTACAGATCTCTATTAGGCCACACTTCGGCCTACTTTTTCTAAGAGAAACGAGAGGTCCATTCTTGTACGTGCATCCAGATAAATTTTGCATCATCATTGTAAATCTTTCCTGCACCATCATCACTGTATTTTTCTCTTTGTATTTTTTTAATTAACAATACTACAATCAGAACTGCATGTAGCACTCAAAAAGTTTGACCTAGCCATGATTTAATGTGATGTGGAGGTGCCAGTGCTGGACTAGGGTGGACAGAGTCAAAAATCATATGACATTAGGTTATAGTCCAACAGGTTTATTTGAAAACACAAGCTTTTGGAGTCTTGCTCCTTCTTCAGGTGTTAATCAGAGGAGTGGCATCAGGCACAATTTATAAGCAAAAGTTCAAAAGGTTATAGAACTGATGCAAACGTATTGAACAAGCCTAAGATGGCTGTTAAACCTTTAATCAGTTAGAAAGGAGATGCAGGTTTCAAATGAATAAAATGCAAATCCCAGAATTTCTTTCAAGTCACTGTGCCGAGATAACTAAAGATTTTATCAGTCTATCAGAGGTGACATGTCAGGTCAGACAATACATTTTAGATGTGAGGCTTTGTTTCGAATCTGTCTATGTTTTAACTTGGAGTCAAACTGGTTTTATTTCCAAAGTAGGAATTTATAAAATGCTACATTGTCCATAAATTGTGTGCTTTCTGAACAAAATAGAATGTATCTGCAATTACAAACCTGCAGAGGCAAATTCACCCCACAGATTTATACGTGTGTGTTGTGCGTGTGCGTGCACATGCATGTGCACGCACACGCACGAGGAGGGAGAGAGAGTGTGCACGCATGGACACACACACACACTCTCTCTCTCTCACTCTCTCTCTCACACACACACACAAACACAAACACAAATCTATGGGGTAAATCTGCCTTTGCAGATTTGTAATTGCAGATACATTCTATTTTGTTCAGCAATCACACAATTTATAGACTGTCAGTGTGGCATTTTATAAATGCCTACTTCGGAAATAAAACCAGTCTCACTCCAAGTTAAAACACAGACAGATTCTAACAAGGCCTCACACCTAAAATGCATTGTCTGACCTGACATGCACCTCTGGTAGACTGATAAAACCTTTAGTTATCTCGGCACAGTGACTTGAAAGAAATTCTGGGATTTGCATTTTATTCATTTGAAACCTGCATCTCCTTTCTAACTGATTACAGATTTAACAGCCCATCTTAGGCTTGTTCAATACATTTGCATCAGTTCTATGACCCTTTGATCTTTTGTTTATCAATTCTATGCGTAATGCCATTTCTCTCACTAACACCTGAAGAAGGAGCGAGACTCCAAAAGCATGAGATTTCAAATAAACCTGTTGGACTATAACTGGTGTTGTCTGATTTTTGACCTGATTCAGTGTGGGTTTAGCATAACATCTCTACTTCTGAGTTCTGTCCTTCTGGAATCAAATCATGGGGCTTGTTTTGCTATTTTATAGAATAGAATAGGTTAGGATAGAGTGGAACAGAATACAAATTTATGGTCACATGTACTTTTCCCTGAAAAATACGTTGAGAAGTTTCCCCAACACGGTGCCTACAAAGTCGTACACAATAACCAAAATTAAGTAAAATTAAGGCAAAAGTTCATTTCAGTTCAATTAACAGCTCCTAGGCTCAGGGAAAGCTGAATAAGTCACAATGGAAAACCATGTGGATGCAGCTGGGTCGAGAATATCACGCCAGAACACACCGGCACAAGATTGCCATGTCGGGCCACTGGAATTCTGGGCCAGGAGCGTCCCCTGAAGTTGACAGCCATGCTGGGCCAAGACCGCCATTCTTGGACAAGACTGCCTGCCAGGCCACTGGAATTCCTGGAAGCAGAAGATGATGACCTCCACACAGGGACAAGACCTTCACGTCGGGAAGAGACCGCCAAACCTTGCTGAGACTGCCACTTCTCCTCTTTCAGGCGCCTGTGCCTAGCTGCGGACTTGGAGCCTCAGCCTCGCCTGAGAGTCCAGGCCAAAGGAGTCAGCCCAGGACCTGTTCCTCACTCACCAGGAGACCCAGGCCTGGGGTGAAATTGTGTCCAAATCACTCTGGCATTGCTGCCATTGTTGTTGCTGCCGGAGTCGTCCTCCTTCTCCAGCCTCTCTCCAGACTTAAAAGGAAAGTAAATGAAGGAAGAAGGAAAAGAGCTAAAGAAAAAAAAAGAAGAAACAGAATGAAAGCAAACAGCAGTGGACGAGTCTCAGGTTCAGCCCACTTCCAGTGGATGAGCCCCAGGCTCAGCCCACTTCCTCCGCTTGCATCTTGCATCTCTTGCCTTGCTAACATTTTACACACCTTTAATGATTGAAGTATTTGTACTCTAAGATTCCATTCATCATCTACCTCAGATAGACTCTATTTATTCTGTAAGAAGTGCCCTCTCTATTCATACTACTGTGCCTCACATTTATATGCTTTGAACTAATTATTTAGCCATTCTGCAACTTTATTAATGTTCTACGAAAATTCATTAGAAGCAATGCTAGTACCCCGAATTTGGTATCAGTTGCAATTACAAAAACTTGACTTTTGATTCCAAACCCTGATTAATTTGTCATTCAATGAGTCAATGATACTATTTAGCATATAGCTACCTATATTCTCAAAGAAAATTCACACTGCAGAAACCGGCATACTTATGGTGATAGTTCACAATTTGAAAGTCATAAGGTACTTCACAGGATCACTATCAAATTTGACACCAAGAAGATATTGATCAAAGAGATTGGTTTTAAAGGAACATCTTAAAGGAAGGAACAGAAGTACAGAAAGAGCATTTTAGAGCAAGAAAAATTCAGAGTTTTCTGGAGCTAAGCGCAGGGCCACCAAAGATGAAAACTACTCAAAAGGCCAGAACTGGACTCAAGAGTTGTAGGGCCAGTGGAAGATTTGAAGATAGAGAGTTGGACATAAAGGTGGTTTTGTTTTTGTTTGAGACGTGTAACTCAACATATCAAATTTATGCTTACTTCTAGCACAACCTGTAACAAATCTGTAGACAACTTTATTTTACTGTTCAAAAAAACCAAAGGACTGCGGATGCTGGAAATCAGAAACAAAATCAGAAATTACTGGAAAAACTCAGCAGGTCTGGCAATATCTGTGGACAGAAAGCAGAGTTAACATTTTGGGTCCAGGATCTCTTCATCAGAACAGCTGTATTTTACTGTTAAAATTATGTAGCTCAAAGAGTCTCCAGACACAATCAAAACTTCAAAGGATCAAATCTATACCAGCAAAGAAAAATGGATATTCAACTGCAATGGACATTAGAAGTTTAACATTAATGCCATAGGTTTAAGTCTAAATCTCATGACCACCCCCAAAACATACATTTCATTCTGTTACTTACGGCACAAGTTTTAAGGCACTTTTGCAGGTGCTGGTCTCTTGAAGTTCTGTAGGCAGAGTGCTGGCACGGGATTTCGGCCACATATATAGAGTACTCTCCCAACCAAATAAGACGAAAGACTGTGAATTCACTTTCGCAATCAAATCTTTTATGGCTTCTGAAAAGCCTTCTTTAATAGCATTCTCTGATATCAAAAAAGAAACAATGTTACAAGTGCTATAGATTTCAATATTCATATTTACAACTTGCATAGCAGTTCTATTAGCATAAACAAATATAAAGTAACATTTGTACCACACAAGTGTCAAACAATAACTATGTTCAATGAGAGAGAATTTCACCATCGCCTCATGAGATTCAGTGACATTACCATTGCTAAATCCTCCACTATTAACATCTCGGGACTTAGCATTGACCAAAAACTGAAGTGAATCAATATAAACACTGGCTACAAAAATAAGTCATCACTTGTAACCCATCTGTCTCCCTATGCCTGTCCACCATCTTCAAAGCACAAGCCAGGAGTGTGAGGGAATACTCTTCAAGTGTCTGAATCAATGCAGCTCCAAACAACACTCAAGAAGTTTGACACCACACAGGACAAAAAAAGCCCTGTTTGATTGGCAATCTATCCATCACCTCCAACTTCACTACCTTCATTGATGATGTACATTGGCCAAACTGTGTACCATCTACAAGATGCACTGCTCGACAGTACCTTCCAATATTGTGACCTTAACAACCCAGAAGAAAAAGGGCAGCAGATGCATGGGAACACCACCACCTCCAAGTTCCCCTCCAAACTACACACTATCCTAACTTGGAACTATATACAACGATGCCACCCGAAGGTTGCAGGAACAGCAACTCATATTCCGCTTGGGAACCCTGCAGCCCAATGGTATCAATGTGGATTTCACAAGTTTCAAAATCTCCCCTCCCCCCACCGCATCCCAAAACCAGTCCAGCTCGTCCCTGCCTCCCTAACCTGTTCTTCCTCCCACCTATCCCCTCCTCCCACCTCAAGCCGCACCTCCATCTCCTACCGACCAACCTCATCCCGCCCCCTTGACCTGTCCGTCCTCCCTGGACTGACCTATCCCCTTCCTAACTTCCCACCTACACTCACCTTTACTGGCTCCATCCCCGCCTCTTCGACCTGTTTGTTTCCTCTCCACCTATCCTCTCCTCTATCCATCTTCTATCCGCCTCCTACTCTCTCCCTATTTATTTCAGAACCCCCTTTCCCTCCCCCTTTTCTGATGAAGGGTCTAGGCCCGAAACGTCAGCCTCTCTGCTCCTATGATGCTGCTTGGCCTGCTGTGTTCATCCAGCCCTGCACTTTGTTGTCTCGGATTCTCCAGCATCTGCAGTTCCTACTATCTCTGATTCAATATATACCCAAAATACTGGAAGTTAACAGTACTATTGTGACCTCTGCAATGTCTGAGCAATCAATTGAGGGTGTGAGTGAGATGGCTCTCTGCCGGTAAGTTTTTTTTGTTCATTTACCGCATGAGGGTGTTGCTGGTTAGGCAGCTTTTATTGCCCATTCCTAATTGCCCAGAGGGCAGTTTAGAGTCAACCACATTGCTGTGGGTTTGGAGTCACATGAAAGCCAGACCAGGTAAGGATGGCAGTTTCCTTCCCTACAGGACATTAGTGAAGCAGATGGCTTTTTCCAACAATTGACAATGGATTCACGGTCATCATTAGATATTTATTGAATTCAGATTCCACCATCTGCTGTGGCAAGATTCGAACCTGGATCCCCAGAATATTATCTGGGTCGCTGGATTAACAGTCCAGCGATAATACCACTAGGCCATCGCCTTTCCAAATTTCAAGCAAAGTTGCATTTTATGCTGTAAATTAAGTATAACAATGATGTGCATACCCCTTGCATCACATTTCTATTACTTAGTGTGTGTTTTTACATTGCTTATGTGGACCCCTTGATCAACTGGCACACTCCATAGGTACCAGTTAATAAAAAGTTTGCTGTACTTGCATTGCAGTGACAACTTACATTTATTTAGTAGAATTCCACAAAGTCTGTACCATAGCAATAGGACATTTGCCCAAGTAGTCTTTGCTGGCTTTTATGCCCCAGCCAGATCTGCACCTACCCCACTGTATCTATAAGTATCGAAACGAGGAGAATAATTCAACCATTTGGACCTTTCATAAACAAACAGGAGGCTGGAAGAACACAGCAGGCCAAGCAGCATCTGGAGGAAAGGAGCAGTCAATGTTTTGGGGATTACAGGGTAATACCCAAAATGTTGACTGCTCCTTTCCTCCAGATGCTACCTGGCCTGCTTTGTTCTTCCAGCCTCTTGTTTATCTATCTTGGATACCAGCATCTGCAGTTTTTTGTCTCTAACTTGGACCTTTGAGCCTGCTCCACTATTCAGTACGAATGTGGCTGATCTTCTGTCTAAATGCCATTTTCCTGCTGTCTCCATACCCCTTGGTGCCTTTAATATTTAAAACTTTATCAATCATTTTTTGAAGATACTCAGTGACCCAGCATCCACAGCCTTCTGTGATAACAGATTCCACAGGTTGACCATCTTCTCAGCGAGGAAATGTTTCCTTGTCTCAGTCCTAAATAACCTACCCATATCATGAGTCAATGACCCCTGGTTGTAGACTCCCCAGTCAGGGGAACCATTCTCCCTGCATCTCGTCTGTCTAGCCCCAGGGGTTGGAATCTAATCCCATCAGATCTATAATATCAGTTTTGACTGTTGCACTTTTCTGATGGGTTGGTGGGTTGAATTGGCGTGCAGAGCCTACACCCAGTTGGGCATACAGAGGACTGGACTGTGTGAGGTACAAAATTTGTCAATTTGGAACTACCAGAGAGCATTGCCAGCAGCCAGTTTATATTTGTTTTGACCACAATTATTCAAAGCTAAATTACAGAGCCTGATGAGGTTACGAAAGCATTGACATTATTTAAGAAACATCTTACTCTGGCTTCATTTTACCAGAAAGAGCAAGATCATGTAACATTACATCACTTCTGATGATGTTTACATTCTCTCACTAGAGATATGATCCCAGCTGACGTTACTCCTAAATAAGTCAGATCCTAAACAAACACAGAAAATGCTGGAGAAACTCAGCGGTCTGTGAATATCTGTGGACAGAGAAACATAACGTTTCAAGTCCACTATGAAGAAAGTTCTGAAGAACAAGAGTCATACTGGACTTGAAACATTAACTCGGTTTCTTTCTCCACTAATGTTGCCAGAACTGCTGAGTTTCTACAGTTTTTTCTGTGTTTATTTCAGAATTTCAGCATCCACAGTACTTTGCTTTTATTTAGGTCAGATCCCAGACTGAAATTTAGCTTGATAGATCATATTTTATTCTTTCAGTCTTAACAAGGTGGTCTCTTATTGAAACATGAGCATGCAATGTTGCAGATTTGACTTTTACAATAAAACAGAAATTTATTGTCCAAAAGAAATTAAACCAAAATAGAATAAACCTAACAATTTACAGATAAGAAGCATTTAAATATTTTGAAACACAGGGTACAAATATAACCCCATTAATCACAAAAGCTCACTTTCACAGTGCTCACACCAGATGGAATTTCCTTTTCCTTCATATCGATAGGGCTTAATTTAACTGTCACTTCAGTTCCCCATTTGGAGTATCTGGTAGACTCTTACTTGACTTGTCGTAGAGCTGAGCCTTGATTCTTTTAAGTTTCACATAACCCTTTCAAGATTTTTATGTAAACACGTCTGGTCTGGAACTTTTACCAAATCCCACTATCTTTGGCAATTCTAAACTATCCGCTCTCTTTCTGAGGAACAACTCTACACATCAAGCTTTAGCTAAGAATGCTGCAGAATTGTCTGAACTGAACACTAAAAGTCATTGACAAGTTGGCGGAGTGGATAAATAGGTAGCAGATGAGGTTCAATGCAGAGAAGTGTGTGGCAAAGCACTTTGGTAGAAAGAACATTGAAAGACAATAGAAAATACAGTGTTCAATTCTGAAGAGGGTACAGGAGCAGAAGGACCTGTGTGTTTACATGCACAAATCATTGAAGATAGTTGAACAAGTGGAGACAGCAATTCATAAAGCATGCAGCGTCCTCAATTTTATTACTAGAGGCATAGAATACAAGAGAACAAGTGATTTTGAACTAGTGTAAAACACATGTTAGGCCTCACCTGGAGTTTGTGTACAGTTGTGGGCATCACATTATAGGAAATATGCGATTGCATTGGCGAGAGTACTGCAGTGATTTATAAAAATGGTTCTAGGAGTGAGAAACATAGGGAACATAAGAAGAAGAGTCGGCCGCTCAGCTTCTCGAACCTGTTTTGCCATTTAATAAGATTGTGGCTAATCTGCAGCCTAACTCCATATATCTGCCTTGGCCCATATCCCTTAATATCTTTGCTTAACAAAAATGTATCTGTCTCAGATTTAAGAATAACAACTGATCTAGCATCAACTGTCATTTGCAGAAGAGAGTTCTAAATCTCTATCACCCTTTGCGTGCAGAAGGTCTTCCTAAAATCTCTCCTGATTAATCTAGCCCTAATGCTTGGCCTATGCCTTCCTATACCTACAATCTCCAATCAGTAGAAATAGTTTATGTTTATCTACCTGGCTTCTCCTGCTAATATCTTGAAGACTTTGATCAGATTGCTCCTTAACCTCCTAAATTCTACAGAAAACAGGCCTAATTTGTATAATCTCTCCTCATACCTTAACCCCTAATCCATGAACATCCTTTTTTTAATTATATATCTTCTACACTGTCTACAGTTGACTATATCACTTTCTATGCCATTATCCAAATCATTAATGAATAACTGAATAATTGAAGCCAAACACAGAACCTTGTGGGACATCAGCAGTCACATCCTGCCAATTTGAATAACTACCCATTATCCCTACTTTCTGTCACCTGACACTGAACTAATTTTCCAGCCATGTCAATATATGCCCTCAATTCTAGGAGCTTCTATCTTAGTCAATCATCTGTTATGTGGGACTTTATCAAATGCATTCTAAAAGTCCATATAAATAGCATCCATTGAAATTCTCCTGTCCACTTTCTCAGTCAACTCTTCAAAAAATTCAGTGTCACACATGACCTACCTGTAATGAATCCATGCTGGCTTTCCCTGGTAAACTGAAAATCTTTGAGATGTTCAGTTACCCCATCTTTGATTATGGCTTCCAACAATTTCCTCACCACAGATGTTAGGATAATTGGTCTGTAATTCCTTGGTTTTCCTTTTTTGCCTTCTTAAAAAGTTGAGTGCCATGTACAATTTTCGAATCTAGAGGGAGGACTTCTGTATCTAGAGAACTCTGTAAGATTATAGTTAGGGCATCTATCATGTGCTCCCTTACTTTTTTTAACAGCTGATGAAAACCATCAGGCTGTTGGGATTTGTCGCTCTTTGGTTCCATTAATTTCCCCATTACCGGTGTTTTACTTAGATTTGCTTGCTTCATTAACAGTAGCTCTGTACCAGATTTGGTTGACTTATTGCTGTCCCTGTGTCCTTAATATGTTTCAATTGATTACATAACTAGAACTACACTAAGCTGCACAGATAGCATTAAACAAATGGTCTATGGTCTCTCCCTCAACTTCGACCTGGTGCACAAGTGCCTTATAAATGTGGCACCAGCACTGAGAATCCCAGGAGGCCCCAGCAGTACTTCTGCTTCTTACGAGAGGGAGATAGGATGCATGGGGCATGATACAGGTGTGATGCATAGATAGAGGTGTACTTCAGAAAATGGCGTGAAAAAGTTTGCCAGAGCTCGTGGAGAAAAGCCCTCCATGTTTTGCACCAAAGTTGAAATTTAACCAATTTCTGGTGATATTCAGCCAAATGAGTTTTGATGTTTTCCTTTCTTGGTCCAGAGTTGGCTGGAGGCAAATGACTTCTCTTCAATCTTTTTGTATTAGCTTTGATTGGAATGCCTATGCTATACAGGGGGTTCACAAGCTCCTGAAAATATAATCATGTGATCAGCCTTGACCATTTAAAGAATCGACCACTATCTTCTCAAGGGCAATTGTGACGGCCAACAAATGCTCATCTTGTGAACAGCACTGGCATTTTTTAATCATTTCATGGGATTAAGCAGATGATAGGACGATGTCATAATTATACCTGTTCTCATGAAACCAAGAAGACATAATTTTAAACTGAAAAGCAGGAGGTCGAGAGGGATTTGAGTAAAAATGTTTTCAACCAGAGAGTGATGGAGGTCTGGAATGCTTTCCCTGGGAGGGCAGTTGAGATGGTAAACATCACAACCTTTAAAAAGTACTTGGATGAGCACTTAGTGTCACAACGTTCAAGGCTATGGCCTGAGGTTGGGAAAGTGAGACTAGTATAGGTAGTTAGTATATTTTGGTGGTACAGACTAGCTGAGCCATAGGCCTCTTCTGTACAGTATGGTTTTATGATTCTATTCTACGTCCGTGCCAATGCCCAGCCTAGCAGAGAATATTGTGCAAAAAGTTGACAGTGCAGCCCATGCCTTTTTAAGGCTTCACTAGTATTGGTGCTGTGCGGCTCAAAATGAAAATTACTAACTACACTGTCTTCCTTCTTTTAATCTCTCACTTACTCTTTGTACTTAGACGTGTTTTTAATGTTTAAGCAAATACTACAGATGCCAGAGATCTGAAATAAAAACAAATACTGAAGAAACTCAGTCAACCTGTCAGCATCTGTGGTGAAAGAAACAGAGTTATCGTTTCAAACCCAATATGACTCTTCTTTGAACTCTTTCTTCAGCCTGCATTAACGTTTACCTGATCATTATGCTTTGGGACATAAAGGGGGAATTTTAACCCAAGCAAATGGATGAGTTTATATGCTGGGGATTAAATTGTGAAGAAAATCAGATTTCCAACTCAAACCCATTCCATACTGTCCACTTTTGACTTTAAATGATGATGAAATGTTGACAGTTGATGGCCAACCAACTCTAAGGAGGCAGATTAAATATGGAGCTGTGAGTCTCCATGCGGTTCATTTTTTTAACTTTGATTCCAGGCAGCTTGGTTTCTTGAGCATTGGGGAACCCAAGAGCTACATCCAGGGGAAACACACATAGATCTAGAAGCTGAGTGCCTTTATCACAGAATCATAAATCTGTTACAGCGCAGAAAGGGCATCCAATGCCCTTGTGAATGCCTCAAATGAACCTGTCTCCACCATATTCCATACCTTAACTACTTACTGTGTGAAAAGTTTTTTTTCTCACATCAATCTTTGCTTCTTTTGTAAATCGCTTTAAATCGATGCCCTCTCTTTCTTATTTCTTTAACAAGTGGGAACGGGTTCTCCCTAGCTGATCTATCCAGCCTGCTCATGATTTTGCAAACCTCAATTAGATCACCTTTCACTCTTCTTCTGTTCTTACCTGTTCAATTTATCCTCATAGCTGAAGTTATAGTTTTTGATTTCTAGCATCTGTAATTCTTCGGTTTTTATTCCCTATTCATTTCATAATTGCCCCATCCTATGTCTATTCCCAATACACAATCATTCAACATACTTCACCAACCAGTTCCCCACCAACTGGAAGCTAAGCTGGTACCAGATAGAGAATTGAATGGTAGTGGCATCATGTGAGGAATCCTGGTTTCTGGTTTTCCTGAGCCTTTCCACTCCTCTACCTGACTCCCTGCAGTAAGATAAACATTTAGCATAGTAGGTGTCTACATAATTGTTATCTTATGTAAGCTTGTATTGTTGTGCTAAGTCTGCTGTAGATAATTTTACAACGTCTAAATTTAAAAAATATTAAGATTAATTTCTACGTACAATCTTAAAGTAGACAGGGTTCTTACATTTCACTAGTTTTCATGATTCCATAAATTTAAAGTTATTAAAATAATCAGAAAGATTAACACTTCCGATAAATATTTAAGAAACCATTAGTGAAATTCAATCAACTATTTTCCAAAGAACATCTGTGGTCTTTGCTGTTCAACAATCCTGCATATGAAGCAACAAAATGGTGAAGATATATTTAGTTGTTTTTATTGCAGTACTATGTGAAGCACATATACTCAACATTCAGGTTCTTGTTTAGTTTGAGGCACACAGTGATTGTAGGAGTTCTGTGCATTTGAAAATTCTGTTCCTTTCCAGACCTAGGTCTATAAATGGATGAGATCTTGCAATGTTAGCTTTAAACACCCTCTGGTCGCTTAGGCAGGATTAATCCAAACTGCTCCATTTCATTCCAGAATTCTTTCCCTTTCCAGTCAACAGCCTGAAATATATAAAATAAAGAACCATGTGAATTTCAGTAGTGGATTCATCCTATCTTATTACAGATGAACAAATTTTATCCAGGTATACATTCTGGAAAAAAAGGAATCATGGGGATGGCGATTGCTGATGTTGTTGGTGGTGAAAATGGGATGATTGGTATTGCTTCTTAGGGGAAGCTGCTCCTTGTTTTGTTGAAAGAAAAGACTTCTACATAATTGTTTTACTGTCTGCCAGTTCTTAAAGTTTGTCTTTGGTGCAGTGCAATGCTCAAAATGTAATAATTTTTAAAAATATGCACAAAGGCCTACATAATAATACATAATACAAGGGGCAATGCGGTGGCTCAGTGGTTAGCCCTGCTGCCTCACAGTGCCAGGTACCTGGGTGTGGATGCTCTTCAGAGGGTTGGTGTGGACTCAATGAGCCGAATGGCCTGCTTTCACACTGTAGGGATTTTATGATTCTGTAAAGACCTGACCAAGAACCACAGTTGCTGGATCTGGACATTTCTTAAACATCTTACTTAGCAGTTCTGTTAGAAATTATTCTTTCATGGAACGTGGATGTTCCTGGTAAGGCCAGTGTTCGTTGCCCATCCCTAATTGCCCTCAAACTGAATGGCTTGCTGGGCCATTTTAGGGTGAAGTTAAAAGTCAACCACATCATTGTTGGTTTTGAGTCACATATAGGTTGGACCAGATAACAAATATACAAGAATTAGTTAGCAGATCCTGAGAACATTGGGAAAAACTGATAAGAGGTAAAATCGCAATAGTTCTACTGGACTGTAGGGCTGCTCTCTCATTAAGGAGAAATGACTGGTGCTGATTTAACCTGAGGGTCACCATACCTCAAGGAATGGAGAGAGTAAGAAAGAAGGTCCTTTACTGGTAACCTCAGCCAACATGGGAATTGAATCAGTGCTGTTGGTGTCACTCTATTATAAACCAGCTGTCCAGTCAACTGAGTTAATCAATCCCTCAAGGCCAATATCTAAGATGTCAATAATGTTGTTGCAGTGGGGAACCTTTAGGCAAATGAGTCTGGTATCTTCAAGTTATAGAGAATGCTTAAACTCAATTCTGAATAAGTCCTTAAAAGGACAGATGCAATAAGAAAAAACTACTTGCCATTAAGGGAAAAGGTACTGACAATTCATTCAGGCTTAGAAAAGTACTGCGCTGTACCCATTTTAAATGTGTTTGGAGTGCATTTGCGCATTCCAAGACAGATGTTATTTGTGCGTCATATTTGTGCAGTATCAAATAAGGCATCCAGGATCCAGGTTGGATACACCTTGTAGACACCTGCAGCTTACTATAGTGTTGCATTTGAGGGTTTAGGCTGAATATTTTGTTGGTCTTGGACCTTTATGTTTCAGTGCAGGTGTTGATTATTGTGCCTTAATCCAGAAACAGTTTCTAGAACTTAAAATTTAAAGCCTGCACAGCTGTGTAAATTTGTATTTTCTTTCTCAACATTTAAAAAAAATGGGATGTAGATGTTGATGGTATGCATTTATTACCCATCCCCTAATTACTCTTGAAAAGATGATGGTTTAGCATCACCATCTTGAATACCATACAATACAGTCGTTTGCTAGGCCAATGCAGAAGGTAACTATGAAACAGCCACCATAAGAACTAGGAACAGGAGTAGGCCGTTCAGCCCTTCGAACCTGCTCCATCATTTAAAAGGATCATGGCTGATCCAACAACATTCCTCACATCCACTTTCCTGCGTTTTCCCCATAACCTTTGATTCTCCGATTGATCAAGAATCTATCACAATCTTAAATATACACAAGGTCTCTGCCCCCATAGCTGTCTGTGGCAAAGAGTCACACTCTCTGAGAAAATAAATTCTTCCTCATCTCATTTTTAAATCGGTTCCCCTTAATTCTACAACTATGCTGTCTGGTCCACGACTGTCCTATAAGAGGAAACATTTATCCTGTCAAGTCTGTTAAGAATTCTATATATTTCAATGAGAGGACCTCTCATTCTTCTAAACTCCAGTGAGATGAGTGCTAACCTGTTTAGGCTTTGCTCATAAGACAATCCTTCCATACCAGGGGTCACCCTACTGAACCTTCCCTGAACTGCCTCCAATAAATAATATTTTTCCTTGAACAAGGCGACCAAAACTGCTCACTTCTGTGAGCTGGAGTCTCATGTCAGCTAGATGAGGCAAGGAAGACATCTTTCCTTTCTGAAAAGACATCAGTGAATTTTTTTAGGACAATCCAGTAGTTTCTTCACAATAGGAGCTTTGTATTCCATGTGATTGGATTTAGGTTCCCTAGTTGCCATAGTAGGATTTCAACTCCACACCACTAGCCCAAATATCTTAATTACTACTTACTAATGAATATTCTAATGTAACCCCTCCTCAAAACACAGACTGTTAACATTAATATAATCATTGATTCAAACTTTCTAGTCAAACTCACATTAAGAACCGACTATATGTCAGTAACTATAGGTCACAATTTCAAGATTGTCAGCAAGAGAGCTAGGAGTGAGATGAGGAGAAATTTCTTTGCTCAGGGAATTGTTAGAATTTGGAATGCACTGCCTGAGAGAGTCGTGGAGGTAGATTCCATACAATGTTTCAAAAGAAAACTGGATATATGTTTGAAAGTGATAAATTTAGAGGGCTGTGGAGATATGCTGGAGAATGTGACTAGCTGGGTAGCTCCTTTGAGAGCTGGTATAGACATGATGGACCAAATGGCCTCCTTATGTACTGTCAAGTTCTATGATTCTGCGGTTCTAAGAAGAATAAATCTGAAATGACACAGTAATAGGTAAACAGATTTTGGCGGTGGCATAACAAAGCAAAGCAATAATGTATCACTTAAATGAATTGTAAATGGGGCTTAGTTCTCAGATGGACTTTCTTTAAGATAAAGTGTATTTTTTGAAAATATAAATATAAACTAAATTATTGTTACCAATAATTGAATGACATCAAATAATGTTACTGGACTAATAGTCCTGAAGCCCCCCACATTAATGAAAGAAACATTGCCGGAATAAGGAATGGGAATTGCCAGTGACACTGACGTTCCACAGACAGGGGAAAATAATGTAATTTTTTTTAGCAAGAAAACGCTCTGCAAATTCAGATAGTGTTTGGAAGATAATTTGTGCTGTTCCTTTTCCAATACATACCATTTCAGTTACCTTGGCCAAGTCATCACTTTGTCTGTACATTGTGTCTAAGATAAGGACTTTTCTTGCACTTGGATCTTCGCTTACTGCCATCCCCAGCAAAATGCATGCCTTAGGTTGAGCAACTGTTATTCAGTAACAGCAGCAAGAAAAAAATTAACACATAAATCAAATCATCTTGACATTCAGCATGTTTTTTGCAACTTGGCAATAAATTTGACTTTTAAAATAAATATTAAAAATGAATCATAACTGCTTATTTCAAATGTTCCTATCTTTTATGATTTTTATACCAAGAAACTCTGCTTTGTCCCCAGTTTTTGAGATGGCTGTGTAAACAGAAAAGAAGTTCAAGTTTATTTATTTCTCTGTAACAGCTGCTTTACTTTTTGTGGAGCCACTTTGGTGTGGCATATAACAAAACAACTCTTTCTCAAGTTATACAATTTTACAAACACATTTTCATTCATAAGTTAAAAAATGTTCAAAAGTTAAGGAAGAAGGGATTGTTACAACCACGTGAGGCAGGGTTGAAGGGCTCTCCTCCTGTCCCTCTCATTTGACCACAACAGGGATTTTGTTTAAAATTCTAACTTACTAATTCACTGTATAATTAGCTGTGGACGTGTTGTGATTACATGGAAGTAGCTGGAAATATTTCTTTGAGTTTAATAAGTAACAAGCTAGTTTTTTTATGATTCTATAAACTTTGGAAAAGTTCCAATGGACTGGAGGACAGCTAATGTAAACCCACTTTTTAAAAAAAGGGAGAGAGAAAATGGGCAATTAAAGACCAGTTAACATGACATTAGTGATGGGGAAAGTGCTGGAGTCAGTTATTATGAATGTAGTAACTGAGCATTTGAAAAGCGGTGACAGGATCGATCCAAGTCAGCATGGATTCACTAAAGGGAAATCAGGCTTGGCAAATCTTCTGGAATTTTTTGAAGATGTGACCACTAGAGTGGACAAGGACGAATCAGTGGATGTTTTGTGTCTGGACTTTCAAAAGGCTATTGACAAGGTCCAACACAAGAGATTAGTAAGGAAAATTAAAACTCATGGTATCAGAGATAATGGATTGACATGGATAAAGAACTGATTGGCAAACAGGAAGCAGAGAATTGGAATAAATGGGTCCTTTTCAGAGTGGCAGGCAGTGACGAGAAGGGTACCACAGGGTTCAGTGCTGGGACCCCAGCTGTTCACAATATACATTAACAATTTGGACAAAGGAATTGAATAAAATATCTCCAAATTTGCACATGACGCTAAGCTGGGTGGCAGTGTGCTGTGAGGAGGATGCCAAGAGGCTGCAGGGTGACTTGGACAAACAGGCTGAATAGGCAAAAACTAGGAACAGTCGCTGAAGGTTGGCATGCAGATGCAGCAGGCAGTGAGGAAAGCTAATGGCATGCTGGCTTTCATAGCCAGTGGATTTGAGTATCGGAATAAGGATGTCTTGCTGCAGTTATACAAGGCCTTGGTGAGGCCACACCTTGGGTATTGTGTGCAGTTAGGTCTTGTAGTCTGAGGAAGGACATTCTTGCTATTGAGTGAGTGCACACTGATTCCCGGGATGGCAGGACCAACATGTGAAGAAAGACTGGATTGACTGGGCTTGTACTCAGTGGAATATAGAAGAATGAGGTGGGGTATCTCATAGAAACATATAAAATCCTACTGGGACTGGACAGGCTAGATGTGGGAAGAATGTTCCCAATGCTGGGGAAGTCCAGCACAAGGGGTCACAGTCAAAGAATAAAGAGTAAGCCATTGCGGACTGAGATGAGGAAGAATTTCTTCACTTAGAGAATTGTGAACCTGTGGAATTCTCTCCCACAGAAAGCTGTTGGGGCCAGTTCATTAGATATATTCAAGAGGGAGTTGGATGTGGCCCTTGCAGCTAAAGGGATCAAGGGGTATGGAGATAAAGTGAGAGTGGGATTCTGAAATTGCATGATTAGCCATGATCATATTGAATGGTGGTATGGATTTGAAGGGCTGAATGGTCTACTGTTGCACCTATTTTCTGTGTTTCTATGTCTAATACAATCTGGTGCATACATTAATCCACAATCAAAAACTGCAAGTGTAAATAAAGGTTGCAGGAACTTTAAATTTGCTGGGTCATCTGAAATGACCTTGCTGTATTGAAAGATCAATCAGTTAGATGGAGACTTAAGTGTTTTCTGGAAGGATAAATGTGTTTATATTAAGTTTTAGAACTCGGGATGGACTAAACAACTGAACATTTTTCAGCTAAATAAAGTGCGATCACCGAGTTGTGCTGTATAAATATCATATGGTTGATTGGATGACACAAAAGCTGCAAGGAAATAGCTTATATGAGCATCCTGAACAGGCTAGCCTGGAGTCACAGTTTGTTAAGTTCGGAAGAAAATCCTCCTTCCAAAAAAAGGAAGCAGATTGTCTTCATCAGTCAGAGCACTGAGTGTGGAAGTTGGGACGTCATGTTACAGTGTAAGGCCACATTTGGAGTACTGCAAACAATTCTGGTTGCTCCGCTGTAGGTAGGAAGTTATTAAACTGGAAGGAGCGCAAAAATAGATTTTCAAGGATGTTAACAAGACTGGAAGGTTTGAGTTATAAGGAGAGGTTAGATAAGCTTGGATGTTTTTCCCAAGGTGCATAGGAGACTAAGGGGTGACCTGGTAGAAGGTTAACTTGTGATGTTTGCCAATAGTCCATCTGATTAATCACTGAAGACTGGACAGTGTCAAGATTTGATTTCACACCAGCTGCATACAAGAAAAAGTATATAGGAGAAGGTGCCTCATAATAATAACTAATTAGCTCAGGAACAGGAGTCACCTGATTTGGGAGGGAGCAGGTCGATCACCTGTGTCAGTCTGATCCTCAGACAAGTCTACGTGAACTAGGTCACTTGCAATTGTAAGCATTGTATGGGTTAGCTTGTGATGTAGTACTATTATTACAATATTTTGTACTGTACCTTGTTTTAATAAAGAACAATTGGAACTGCCTTGGGCTATTGCTATCCAGAGTAAACCTGACAGACCAAGAATAGGAATAAAAGCCTACAGAGATTTTTTTTTTAACCAGATAGCTATTCCCGAAAGGGACATTTTTAAAAAAATGTTCGCAGTTTATAGCTTGTTTTCTGGTCAGCTGCAGAAGGATTCGAAAATTTTACTGTCCGTATTGAACAGTTTAAATTATGACTTGTATCTTTTTCTCTGGAGATCCAGCTGGGAAATTGAAGTCATTCTTTTAAAAAGTTCTATGTCTGCTGTGGCAATAGAGAACAATCAAATTTAGTGAACAAATTTAATATATTGTCTTTTTAATTGAAAATGGGGAGTGAGTGAGCACAGCAGTTCTCCTTCTCTCACTGCTGCTGATGTTCCTCTAGAGGGCACATGCTTCAAAATATGTGATTTATTTGTCCAGTTGTCGATTTTTCAAAAATAATTATTGCATCTCCCGGTTACAACTAAGTCGAATTAAGTATGTATTTGTCTTCAAATGAGATTTGCATTTATCCAAGCAATCAAATTTCTGAATGGTTTGCCACCATTTGGCCCATATCCTTTAACCCCTTCCTATTCATGTACCTACCCAGATGCCTTTTAGATATTGTAATTCTACCAGCCTCTATCACTTCCTCTGGCAGCTCATTCCATACACACATCACCCTCTGTGTGAAAATGTTGCCCCTTAGGTCCCTTTAAATTCTTCCCCATCTCACCTTAAACCTATGCCCTCGAGTTTTGGACTCCGTACCCTGGGAAAAAATCCTTGGCTCTTCACCCTATCCTTGCCCCATCAAGGAAAATAGCCCCAGCCTATTCAGCCTCTCCATATAGCTCAAACCCTCCAACCCCAGCAACATCCTTGTAAATCTTTTCTGAAACCTTTACAAGAATGTTGTTCGAATATAGTAGGCTGCTTTCCATAACCACCTTTGTATAGCAGGAGAAAGGTTGTTTACAATGGCTGAGGGAAGCCATTGTCTAAAATAGATTTTGTAGATTGGATGTCTGTGCTGTGATGATATAATGAATGTTATCCATCTTAAGGCAAGTTAGTTTGTTTCAAAAAAAAAACTGATTTTTAAAAAAAAAATCAAGTCTCAGTTCTCAGTTGATGAATTAAAAATTAATATTTGACTTAAACACATCTTTGTGAGAACTCAACACCAAATATAATGAAATGTTCCAATATGTTGTGTTTCATTCCAAAGTGGCAAATAGTAGAAACTGCATAAAAGTACAGATAACTTCACTATAGCTCTGGAGGATTGCCCTCTCATTAGAGAGACAACTGGTAGTGCTTTAGCCTGAGTCGCACTACACCTGAAGCCAGGGGTGAGATTGAGAAGATGGAATGTTCATGATAACCTCAGCCATTATGGGAATTGAACCCACACTTTCCGAATCACTCTGTATTCCAAACCAACTATCCAACAATTAAGCTAGGAAACACACACGCACACACACACACACACGTGCACATACATTATTCCAACAGCCTCACTTTTCATCTTATACTTTGACGGCCATATTGTGTTTCATTTTTGCAATGTTTATACTGAGTTAAACTCATTTTTTATCATTTTGTGGGAGCAGAAAATACTCAGGCTCCTTGGAAGTAGTCCTTTATTAGAATTCTGAATTTCTTTATTTTTTTGGGTAATATTATAAAGGATAGCAAAACTTTATGATTTTCTCCTTTTATATCTTGGTCAGGTTTTATCTAGAGCATCTAGGCATTCACGAGGATTGGCTATGTTTTTGTTCCCAAAATGCGTGTCAAAAAATATGTTGGCTGTGGTTAGTTGTGGATGTTGGAAGACCCTAGGTTTGTCTTTGCAGTTACAATTGTCACCATTCACAAGTTGCTCCACAAAATTACTGTTATGGTGCTTAGTTTCATGGTGCAATGATAACAATCTCTCTGAATGTCAGCAAAACAAAAGAACTAATAATTGACTTCAGGAAGAAAAGAGGAGGCTACGCTCCTATCTACATTAATGGAGCTGAGGTGGAGAGGGTCAAGAGGGTCAAGTTCCTAGGTGTGATGATAACCAACAATCTGTCCTACAACTCCCACATAGATGCAATGGTCAAGAAGACAGAAT